TTGCCTCGTGTATCTTGATGACTGCGTGGTGCTCTGTGACGACTTCCCGACTCATCTAATTCGCGTGCGTCAGGTACTGGAACGCTTCCGAGGGGCGAGGTTCAAGCTAAAGATGAAGAAGTTCCATTGGGGGCGCGACCAGGTGGCGTTCCTAGGTCATATTGTCACGCCTACGGGTATCATGCCGAACTATGAAAAGGCTAAGGCGGTGATGAACATCGAGAGGCCTCATGACCTTCATACGGTAAGGGCGTTCCTAGGGTAAACCAGCTACTTTAGGCGTTACATACCAGGGTTCGCGACTATTGTAGCACCTTTGGAGCGCCTGAAACAGAAGGACGTGCCATTCCTGTGGAATGACGACTGTGAAGTGGCGTTTCGCCAGCTTCAGCGGGCTCTAGTGAAGCCTCCCATTTTGACGTACCCCAATTAGAAGGCGCGCTTTAAGCTGTTCGTGGACTCATCTCATCTGGCCGTAGGGACATGCCTAATGCAGGAGATGGCTGACTTGCTCAACGAGGATGACGGCGACCCCGCGAGCGAGGAGGCTCACGACGTCGCGCCTCAGCCTTCCGGAGTGGATACCCCGGGTGAAGGAACGCTGAGTTGGAACGCCCCCCCCCCCCTGGGTTCCAATCTCAGTCAGGGAGACCCCTGAAACGGGCGTTTCTGAGAACCTTCCAGTGGACGCCCGACCAACAACCACGACCTCCGAAGTACCGAACCCCTTACTCAAGATGAACAGGAAGAGGACTTGCAAGGACGGGTTCCACGAGTTGATCAGTCCCCGGAGGATGCATTCGGGTTAGATTCCGACAAATTCGTGCTGGAACAGGAGAACGAACCTTGGATGTGTGCCTTTAAGGCGTTCCTGAAGGACGGAGCTTTGGCTCTCGACCCCCAACTGAGGGAGACCGTGTCGAAGATGTCGCCCCATTACCTAATCCGGAATGGGGTCCTGATGAGACTTGATCATCTGGGAGCACGTGCAGAGTCGGCCCGAACGATAAGCGCTCCTGTCGTGCCGTTGTCGTTCATCGAGATCGTTCTTCACTACTGCCACGCCGACGTCTTCCATTGTGGATATGCTGCAGCGCTACAACTGGCGCTGGACAGTGCAGCGTTGGTTTCTAGGCTGCCTGCTCTGTAAAGACACCCACGACGTCAGCGCTGTACCCCCCGACGAGTACGCGACTCGACTGGCAGACTTTGTACGTGAGAAGCTGTTCGACATCCAGGAAAACACCAGCGGACCGAGCTTCCGAAATGTCCATAGCAGGAACATCCAGAGCGATCATACGGGAGAAAGTGGCTACAGCGGCATATCTTCTCGAGATGCGTCGTCGCCTCCCACGTCGATGAGTGTTGGAATCTTAGAGTCCAGCGACATCCCGTCGATTGAGATGCAGCGTCTGTCCGTGATTTCAGCCTGTTCGCTGGACGCCATAGGCATCGAGCCGTCGTCTTTGTCCTCGTCTCCGTCGGTCGCGTATTCGTCCGTATGTGAAAGTCCCATAGAGGTGCCGGAAACCCGTAAGACCACCATGTTCTTCGTCTGATTAATAGACGAGATCGAAAGTGATTTATAAAAAAATGCCCAACTTACATGTATCTATCCATTGAGAAAAAACTTTGTAGTCAAGCACTTCAACTTTGCTACACAAATCACATGTATCTACCAATTCGGTACTCAAAAGCATTTGCAAAACGAAGTGAAAATGGAGGAGGAGGGTGAGCGCAGTGATGGCT